CTTGTCTTTAGGGAGACTGCAAGCACCAAGACCTCTAGCAGAGCCCTACTGGAACAGTGAAAATGGGAGAGCCAGAACAGCGCAACCGGGGACACACAACCCCTCCTCTACTCTGATTAGCAAATGCAGTTGTCCCAAATTCCCTTTTCTGTCTATAAACCAGAGCTGGCCGATGGCTACCATTAAAAGCTGCGTGTGACTACACAGAGCTCTTGACACGGGAAAGGGAGAGCGACACGGATGCTCTGGCGTGAGTCGGGAACTCACGAGCAGCCACGCAACAAGCGGAGGTTCCCTGTCACCCTCCCTCTCCAAGGGCTGCACGCCACTCGGCGCTCGAGGCAGGCACACAGAATTGCTGCCCTGGGGTTGGTACCGTTTCACAAAGCACATGAAATGGTTGTACTAAGTCTCGGTACAGAAAAACCCAACATCCTAGCTGGTTTCAGGGGGAAGCCTGTGATGAGTCACCTTGTCTTGCACCTCTAACACAGGAAGGTTGCATTCTGGTTGGTATGGTGAAACAACATTTTTGCAAACCAGGTAAATTTTCAGACATTCTTGTTCCTTAGGTGCTGCCAGGCAGCAGACTAACATTAATTTTAAGCAAAAAAAATAATTCTGAGCCAACTAGAATCATCCCTCATGAACCTCTCAGCAGCTGCACGTTTGGAGGAGCAATATGGGATTTTATTAAATAGCACTTGCAGAAACTGCCATGGCTGAGATGAGAGCAGATACAGCAAAACAAAGACCACAAGCTCTACTGCCGGCACCGTAAAACGGTCAGCAGCCTTACCCCCAGCGCCTCTCAGGCCAGATTTCAGAACGTAACCGTCTGTGCGCACCTGCTTTTTGGTGGCCCCCCCAGCCTGCCACCAGCTTCTGCAGTCACGCCACGAAGGCGGGACAGCCCAACAGAGCTGGCACCGCACGCACCACGTCTAAGCTGAGCTAAACCCAGCTGCCCACCCGCAGCTGCGCGCCGCCGCCGGGGAGCACGTCCCGTCTCGCCCGCTGGGAGCCTCGCGGAGGTGGGGTCTGCCACCTTCAGCTGCAGCACGCGGGGGGCTGCGGACCCGAGGCACTTGCCCTGCCTAAGAGATTCCTCTAGAGAGGTGTTCACCATAGCACGCACGCAATTATCTGCATTTACCTGCCAGAACCTGACGCTCTCTGGTGACCGGCAACAAGGAGGCTTCTGAAGCCCAGAAGGAAGCTTAGCTCCAGGTCACCCTTGCAGGACAAGCATAGGACAGATGGAGATCACCCTGCTTCCTCCCACCCGTGGGGACAAGAACAGGCAGAGAAGCTTCTCTGTGGCTGCTGAGGCCGAGTCGCTAGTGGTAACATTCCCCAGCTTATGAAAAGGGTGCGATTTTTAACTTTTTACAATATATTTAGAACACTATGGGTAACAACACATGAATTAATGTTTCCAGAAGTTTTGAGTGTTACACTGTGATTGCGCGTTTTTTTTAATATGACCCAATCAGGAAGGAGACATTTGCATACAAACATTTCAATATCATAACTTCAATAATCAGAAAATAACTGATCGGAGCACTTGGCAAACAAAACTCAAGAAAAATGCTACGGTCAGTGATAGAAAAGGGAAACACAAGGGCACAGACACAAAGAGATGAGAGTAGCATTTCCATTTTTCAGTTCTCTCTGGTAGTTCAAAGAAATAGCAAACACACAAATGGAGGCCTCACACGTGCATTGTAAGGACTTGCTGAGATTTCTACAGGTGAGGAGATACGGTATAAAAAGCAATTTGTCTACAGCTGTGGGCAAGCAGTTCAGAATAGGAGGCAGTAGCTTCCCCTCATACCTATAAAATGAGCTGACGTTGCGTACAGCAGCGCTGGCATTTCTCAGAGCTACAGGCCTTGATATAACGTTCTGGTAGCATCTGATGCACAGAAAGCACAAGTGTCTTCATTTCACTAGAAGCTTCATCATCCCACAGGCATCTGTGTCCAACTCCTCTGGAAGGCCAGAGTGGCGTAGGCAACCTCATTCTGAGGATGTGAAAGAAGCCACAAATGTAAGAGTGTGAAAGCACCACATCTCAGCATGAATTTCATGGTTTTAACTTCTCCTCAGTGCCACACCCCATAAGCGGGCACAGTCTGTCCCTGCACATGGGAAATCAGTCAATGCTACGCTGGATCAGACCAGTTGTTAGTCTAGCTCAGGACCCTGGGTCAACTCTGTGTTAGGGGCTTCCAATCAATACTGTGAAGGAAAACTGCAGAAATGCTTGTCCTCTAAAAAGATTTTCCCCTAACCTGCCTCATTAGTGGTGTGGTTTAGCCCCAGAACCCTTGAAATACGTGGGGAGTATGGCATTTGAGCCCTCTGATAACGGAGGAGGAATATCTTTCCTCCTACCGTCCAGGTACCTCCCCAGGTAACTCCCTGCAACTCCAAACACAGGCTGAAGCCCTGGATGCGCAAAAGAAAGCGCTTTTCCTTAGTCAAAAGAACTGTCGACTAACACCTGAGTCTTGCAAGAGCAAACCTCTTTCCCCTCCGTTGCAAATTAATATTTACCATGCTATCAAGAATCTGAAGCCTCTGCATAAAGTATCAGAAATAACAGTTGTGACCTTTACCTGGACGTTCTTAGCAGATTCCTCAGTCACTGCCTGGGAGGGAACCTCCTCTTGTAAATTTTGGTGAGATCTCTTACGCTCTAGGAAGGAAAGGGGTACCAGTCTCAGCTCTCTGCGCCGTGTCTGGAGACAGCGGCGCAGGAGTGGGGTGACAGAGCAGCACCAGTGTGCACGGCCTCGACGTAGCTTGTAAAATCCAACACAGACCTTGGGTGCAGAGCCAGCAGTTTGGCAGCCCCAGTGCCTGCCCACCCGTTGGAAGTGGCTAGGGTGGAAGCGACTGATGAATCTGGGGAGAACTCTGGGCGGCCAGAGTTGGGGTGAAAAAAACCAAACCGAAACAAATGCAACCAACAAAACCCACCACAACTCATCAGTGCTAAGTTAATTCTTCCTTGAAAACAGCCCCATGGTGATTCACGAGGAGTTGCTGCCAGGAATGACCTGCTCATCAATATGTTAATTATTCAAGGGAGACATAATTTGAGCCTCTTTCAAAGCCAATTCTGTAGTCTTCTGCGGTAAGACGCAGCCCGAAGAGCACAGAAACGTAGCACCACCCATGTTAAGATGTGCAGCGCGAGATGCTAAGCACTTCTCTGCCAGCAGGTCTGGATCACCGCGCTGCTGTTACTCCCTCTGCTGTGCCACTTACTTTTTCTGCAGACGTAGATGATTGCAAAAACCAGAACAGTTGACAGGATGCCAGAGATAAAGGCGAGCAATATGTAGAGTATTTCATGGCTGTTGATACACAGAAAACAGAGTCAGAATCCCCTGTTTTAACAGAGGTGTTGGAGAATCAGTAATGCTCAAATTCACCAAACTTTATGAAATGTAACGCGTTTATCCCAAGCCCCAGGAGACTAAAAGGTACGTATCCGCATTAAACATCACTGTGAATTAAATATCTAGTGCACAGACTAGGAAATTCTAAGCAACAGTTTAACACCACCAGACATAAAACATATTCCATAGAACTCCTCCCATACAGGAGGAATCTGCAGTCTCAGGGAACTCTGTGTTTGATGTCAGCAAATAAAGGTGGAGCATTTACTTATCAATCCAGCATTTGACTTCTGAACCTTTCAAGTCAGCTGTAGTGGTATGTACAGTGACAGTAGTGGAAACGGGTCCTGGTGTAACTGGAACTGAATAGGAAAAAAAAAAAAAAAAAAAAAAAAAATCAAACCCTGGTTTTAAAACGCATTAACTTCTCCAGTAATACTACAGGCAGCAAGAACCAGAGAGGCACGCGCCTATTCAAGCATTATCGTCAGTATAATATTTTTCTATCAAAGGGCTGAAAGTGGAAACACCAGACAGAAAAATTTATTCACATTATTACTGGCCCACAGCAGCCTTTGGCAGCCACGCAGCTCTTCCCAACATGCAGACATCTCCTGCTAAGCTACCCCCCAGCACCCCCTTTTGAGTCAACTTAGTCAAGAATACTGCGTCTAAGAAAATGCCTTCAAGAAGAGAATACCTGGATTCACTTTTGTGGAACC